AAATTAACAAATTGAGTTGAAAAACTTTTGTGGCCAAAAAGCCGACAAGATCTATTTTTACGTCCAGACATAAACAAAATCAATAAAATATAAAATACAAAAATTTCTAAGTCTAAAGTAGTTTATTGTTATTGTAAAGTTGTTGTTTAATATTTATCTATTTATAAATACACTAGAAATTATCCTGTAGACAAAAGATTTCCTCTCCCGTATCAATACAAAATCCTAAAAATAACAAGAATAATACAAAAATCATTTCGAATGGAGTAAAGAATAATACAAAATTCGTTTACAATTACGTTTAGTAAGATTCGATTAGTAAATGAGATGTAATAGAAATAGAATAATTAAAATTAAACTAAATTAAACTTAAATTAAAATTAACTATTTCTCATTTGTCCGTTAGCATTTTATAATAACAATATTCTCGAAGTTTTCAATTTACAGCTGCACAATTATACAGAATACTTCAAAAAATAGTAGCATTATGACAGATTTATACTAGTAGATTCTCCTGCGCAAGTTATCATAAAATAATTGTGGAGCAATTTCATTGTATTTTCACAATAAAATATAGAGTACATTTAAACATAGTACAATTAATTTTTAAACTCGTTATATCAAGAAATTATGGGATAAAAGTTGTATAAAATAAGTTCTTTTTTTCTCAGAAATTAAACAAGTCATTGCCAATGTAATTATTATTGACAATAACTTATGTGTCTAATATTTTTAATCACTTCGTTACAAATAGTTCAATTTAAACAAAGAAGAATGCGTTTATGAAATATTAATGGCATTATATTGTATTTTTGAAAGTAAGTTTTTATTTAGATATACAGTCGACCCCCCTATAACACGGTAGATACGTTCCGGTTTTTATGAAATTCATTTTCTACGAGTCCTTACATACGTGAGCCAATCACAGCCCGGTACGTATGCAGTTTACAGACTACGGCTGTTTGAAAGATTTTCTTCCATAAAATTAATCGATTCTAGACTAATTCGACTCAACATTTCCAAAATACATATAATTTTTTGGGAATAATTCATATAAACTATGCTATAAACAAAAAATTGTAGGATTACTTACCGAGTGTGCACCGTTCCACGACGCCATTGCTTAAGCTTGCTTTCGTCGTGGAGCGGCGTATCGAATGGCGCTCGCGTGCTTCCTGATAAATTATTTTTCTGCGAAAAATTCTCTGAACTTTGAAGACATCATTAATATAAATATAATTTTTATGGACGTTAAATAAATGGGTTTTGGTAGGTCCGCTGCTCGTTTAAACTCAACGGTTTGTGCAATATCTGCTATTAGTCTAGGTTCGACCAATCCTGTCGCGACACGAGTCTGCGATGACGTTTTAAAGAATTATACGAGTTTTTTTAGCGTGCTTGTACGAATACGGTCGAAATTTTTTCGCCGTCAATCCGAACTATATGAACCCGTTTTATAGGGGGTCTACTGTATTTATATGTAAAAATTACATGAATGCAGTTCATAAAAATTATTGTAAATAACGTATGACAGTGCAACTGAACAAGTTTTTATTTGCATTTGTGAGTAAAAATATATTTTACTTCAGAGTTTAGAAGACGTCATAAGTATTTTAACAATAACTAGAATTTTTGTGAAATTGCTTAAATTACGAATGAATCTTGAAGTTATCTCACTGGATTCTATATTAATGTCAAATGTGACCAAAGATCTTTAACCAGAATCTGTCTTAATGTGAGTCCTATATGCTTTATACTCATTTCATGGCAACATAATCAAGAAGTTTGGATAACCTAAGATTCTCCTTTTGAAAATAAATATTTTCACACCTTACTTTTGTTCGGAATAACCGTCTTAAACGTGTCCGGAAAAACAACAAATGTAGTAAGATTCCAATACTGCGGATAAAATGAAAGTTGATTAATTCTCTAATCCAATAATACTGATAGACATTGAAAAAGTAGGCGATAATGAATGTTGTAGAAAAATGTTGTGATAATGGTGGTGTAAAATGTTCCCGTTTACACGGTCTAAAAGAACACAGTATATACTTCCTTTCTAACAATAACAACACAATTACACTTTAATGTCTCCAAATCAGCAAGTGACTCTCTGGCACTCCACAATCGAGCAACACTCCGGCACCCGACAATTATTTGATAATTAGAATACTGGATACTGACCAGCCACACAGCTACCCACTCTGGTTAGCTCCCCGATCAGTACTGACTCGATACACACAACAAAGGAAAGCCCACAAATTTTCCCTCTCTCACAATTTCTCCCTCTCTAGGCGGGACAATCTCCCCCGCATTCTTAGGGTATATATTACCTCACCCATCTGACACGTGTGACAAAGCTGTGGACTGTCCATCAACACTTGCTGACATCCACACACCTGATACATATCTGACACATGTTACAATTGAACTTAACAATGAAATTTAAATGCTTTGTTATGGGAATTGAGACAACTCATGCCACAGTTTCAAATCAGATAGTAAAATCTAGTTACTTCAAAAAGAATAAAAAAGTATTAAATCTATTTTGTATGTTGTAGAGCAACTATCAAAAATTATTAAAGAAATTTCAGCTCTAAAATAAATACAAAGTAATTCAAAAATTAGATTCCAGTAAAAATTATAAGAATAGTCATTAGGATAGTTTTGGCCCTATTCCTGTATGATTTTGTATATATTTCGTTTATTGGCTTAATATTTATCTTTCAGTGAAAATATGATGAAACGCGGATTCATTAAAGATTCAAAATTTTTAACATTCTTTATTAGTAACCGTTACTAAAGAAGATAAAAAATAAAATATAATTTATGTAGACTATCGTTAAACCTATCCGTATGGACGAATAGAAGAATGACGTCGACTTACAGTAACCAGATATTAGGGTGAAACAAACATAACTAATTAATACAAATATGCTAGCGGAGAGCACATTTTTACTGAAAAAATGCCAAAAAGTTATTGTGCCATATAATACCATAATTATAGCACGAGGAAAAATAAAAACACGGGTTTTTTTCTCTTTCTCTTAGTAATGAATAAAGGTAAAATAAATGGATTAATGTGAAAAGAATTAAAACGATTGCCACAAATAGGCCTATATATATTTGTGCAACGTATATTTTATTTCAGGAAGCGATTTAAGCCATAATAATAATTATTAGGCATTATTATTAGAAATGATCATTTTTCTGCATTTGTTTGTAAAGATTACAATTAAGGATTTACTTCCATATTAATATCTCTCGTTTTGTAGAAATTAATATGGGAATAAAACCTTACCGAAGAAGCTAGAACCTATTACTATATATATATAATCTATATTTTTTCTTCAGTATTTCTAGATTCGTCTCTATTTACTATAAAAATCACTGACAAAATATTTAGTTCATAAAGCCTGCATATCCAATCGAATTTCAATTCTACTGAACTATGTAACAGGTCTCACATTTCTTTCCCTGAAATAATATCATTTTTAGTATATTCATAACATCTTAAATCACTTTTTAAATATTAAAAAAATTATGATAATGTTACATTCAAAAATAAATAAATAATTATTTAACGCTATGCACATTTTCACTGGAGTTTCAAAAGTTATTGCATTTTGTCATGCCGAGAGTATATGAAAAAAGCTCATAAATGTGAGAAGCTCAGTTTTGTCCATGATAGATCAGTGTGATTCAGAGTAAAATTAGCCATGTTGAAAGAGCAACGTGTAAGGAATTCCTACTCAAACTATTTATTAAAAGTTAAGATTATAACTGATGATTTTAAAATATAACTTTTATCATTAGGATATATGTCATGCAATATATTCTAGTTTCAATGCAGTTCTTACTAATCAGTATAAACTGCAGATTACTTGAAAATATAAGCGTTTACAAGAATATGTGATTGTGAGATTTCAGATTTAATTCCAATCAGATATCGAAATTAGGTGAAATGTTTGGTTGTGTTTACAATTAAAAGAAGCCGTAACGGAATGACGCGAGAGAAAGAAATCTCGTGTATTGGGGCATGTGTTTAAGATCTGTCTCGGTCACGGTATGTTTCAAGGTCACGGTATAGATTTCATGCTCCGTACGACCAGTAAACTGCACTTTCTTCCGAGTTCAAGTTACGGAATTCTTTTTATAATTTCAAATAGAGTATCTTTTCATTTAGAAGTTACTCTGACATATATGGTTCGTATGATACAGTACAAGAATAAGTTTATTTAAACACCGTAAATTTATATTTTCAACGTTATTTTATTCACTAACCTCATACAACCTCGAATTATCAATTGTTTACAGTCGGCTGTTCTGCAATATTGAAGTCATTTAGCTTTTCTGATTTTGTTAGCGAGAACAATCTGATGACTTTTTCTGATGAAATTTTATAATTCGGTGCCTAACACCAAACCATTTAAAACAAAAATAGATAACAAGAAATCCTGTGTCGTATAATCAATAGGAAAATTTCGACTGAAACAAGTTTAATTTAAAAATTCACAACCATTTATTATGTGTAGATAAATACAGTAAGTCATTTTAATCCTATCGATCTTATAACGTAAACGATAATTTCCTGCGTAACTGCGCTATAAAAATAAAGAGAGCAGATACAAATGTACGTGGTAACTCTCGGATACCATTTTAAAATATCATAAACTATAAATAAGCTAGGCTAATTCGTTAATGATCAAAGTACTGGTAATGATTAGCATCCATTAGACCAATAAATTATAATAATTGAAAATTCATAAGTTAGAAGTTAAAAGCTGTACATTTTGATATAGAAAAATTCTACAATATTTAAAATAATATATAAAATTATATTCGGTTCATTTTGCGACGACAGGAAAGCATTATCCACACTTAATTATCTTTATTTAACAAAAAAAAAAAAATAGTAGAAAAAATACGTGAAAAGACCAAAACGTCTTTACTCTCGCCATGTCCAATCATCGGAAACGACAATCTTCCACTGCAAAGACTTTGATAAAACTATTTTTTTATTTTTAAATTAGTTTTAAAATAGTCTGAAGGCGTTATTTGAACACATTGAAACTGAATAATGTTTTTAAATTATTTGAAAATCTTAAACTAAAACAATAAAATATGAAAAATTATGATTTTAGCAACTTTTATTATAATGTTTCGAAAATTACTCATTAAGTACGTTAAAATTCGATTAGAAACTATAAACTATTACCACAATAACCACAAACTTTGTCATCTCAGAAATCATAACATTTGCAAGGGTAATACGTTCGCGTACAAATCCTTTGTCCAGCCATCTTGCAATGGAGTTCGCAAATTCCACTTTTTTCTTCGTCAGAGCAAAGTCGAAGGTTGTAGACATCAAAAACATTTTCCGAACGATGCGTACTTTGACATGAAACTAATGTGGATATTCCTAAAAATCAAGAATGTATAAATTTTTATCGTAACTTACTAACTAAAATATTAAAGTAACTGTCCTTACCACCAATAGAAATCAGGAAGAATACTAGCAAAGCCTTCATTCTTTAGATGAGTTCTGATTGTCTTTCTGTTTTCAGAAGTTTAAATACTACACAACGTTCAAAGTATAAAAGTCTTGTATTTCTTATTTAATATCATTTGATCGTTATTTAAAAATTTATTTAAAATGAGAATTTAATTTAGAAATATTAGAACTTTTCGCAATTTCATTTTTCTACGGAATATAAAATTTCTTAATATTTCTTGAAGATCAAATACAGTATTTCTAGAATAAAATTTCTAGAATAATTCCGGTAAATCTCTCATCTCTTAAAAAACAATAAAGATTTTAACAAATAATATTGCTTCTACTAAATATTTTTTTCTATATTTTATAGCCTATTTCATAATATATAGTGGTTATCTATGCTTATCATTAAGAGAATTGTCTATACTTGCTTTACTATAAATAGTAGAATTGTTACTCTGTTAACTTAATATGAAATATGAAAATAATTATGATTACATGATAGAACTGCAACCATGTATAATTTTTTCTGGTTCGTAATAAAAGTATTAATCTGTTTAAAACCTTTTTATTTCCAGATATTTGTACGAGATATCCGTTCGTACATCACCTGTCCTGGTCAGAAATGAAATGTTTATAACCGTTCACAAAAACAAAGTTCCAAGATGGCAAGTGTATAAACTTGTCTTGCTCAACGCAATAATCCGAAGGATTCGAAGTGGTCCTGTAGAGTCTCCCGGAAATATCGGTCCAACAAGAACCAGTAATGTTCCTATTATCACAACAGTACGCGAATAATTTAAAGAAAAATGTATATTTATTTACAAAATTATTGAGGGAGGAGAAGTTAAGATGAGTGTCTGCACATTTTCAGCAGCACAGCCTCAAAACGATCAAATTATCTTTTATAATAAGAATGGATTAATTTTAAAATTATGCACNCAAATATTAAAATTTCTAGAATAATTCCGGTAAATCTCTCATCTCTTAAAAAACAATAAAGATTTCAACAAATAATATTGTTTCTACTAAATATTCCTTTCTATATTTTATAGCCTATTCATAGTATATAGTAGTTATCTATGCTTATCATTAAGGTAATTGTCTATACTTGCTTTACTCTAAATAGTAGAATTGTTACTCTGTTAAGTTAATATAAAATAGGAAAATAATTATGATTTCGTTACATGATAGAACTGTAACAATGTATAATTTTTTGTGGTCCGTAATAAAAAATTATTAATCCGTTTAAAACCTGTTTATTCCCAGACATCTGTTCGTACAGTACATCACCTGTCCTGGTCAGAAGTGAAGTGTTTATAAACCGTTCACAAAAACAAAGTTCCAAAATGGCAAGTGTTACAGTAGAGCGTCGTTTATCCGAAAGCTGGTTATCCGAAACGTCCGTTATCCGAAAGCATTCCAGTCGGCAAATTTAAATTTTTGCTAGTGCTGTTGCGCTGCAATCTTTGGCTATTTCTCGGGCTACTCAAATATTTTACGTTTTTGATACTAAATTAACATCTGAAGTATAATTTTTTATTGTTTTTATATTTTTCAATAAATTTATTTTGTTTGTACAAAATAAAAAATTAATTTTTAACGATACAATAGTCTTTGTTAGGGTTAACATCGACGAAAATTCAACGCGAAGCGACACGCAACGGAAAAAAATTTCAACATGGGATAAATTAATACATTTTTTCGTACATGATTCGTTATCCGAAAAATAAGTTATCGGAACCACCCCAGTCCCCAATTGATTCGGATAAACGACGCTCTACTGTACTTATCTTGCTCAACGCAATAATCCGAAAGATTCGATGTGGTCCTGTAGAGTCTCCTGGAAATATCGGTCCAACAAGAACCAGTAATGTTCCTGTTATCACGACAGTACGCGAATAATTTAAAGAAAAATGTATATTTATTTACAAAATTATTGAGAGAGGAGAGGTTAAGATGAGTGTCTGCACATTTTCAGCAGCACAGCCTCAAAACGATCAAATTATCTTTTATAATAAGAATGGATTAATTTTAAAATTATGCACTAGTAATTAAAGAGTTATAGAAAGAAATTAATAATGACTTTTATCAATTATTTAACTAATTATTGATAATCGAAAGACCCTTTAACATAAAGATTGAAAATTATTTGTATTTGATAGTGTTGACGAATTATTACGAATCATACAACAATGTGTCATGTAATTAATATGAAAATTTCGACTAAAACAAATTTAAAAAATCACAACCTTTATTATATATACTGTATAGATAAATACAGTAAGCAATTTTAATCCTTTCGATCTTATAACGTAAACGATAATTTCCTGTATAATTGCGCTATAAAAATAAAGAGAGCAGTTACAAATGTAACTGCTCTCTAGTGGTAACTATCTCGAATACCATTTTAAAATATCATAAACTTTAAATTGGCCAAGCTAATTCGTTAATGATCAAATTAACAGTAATGATAAGCATCCATTACATCAAAAAATTATCATAAGGATTGAAAATTCATGACTGAAAGTAAAATAGAAAAACCTTTATTTAGTTAAAACATGAAAGTTTGATAGAAAAAATTCTACAATATTTAAAATAATATGTGAAATTAATTTCTGTTCATTTTGCGACAATGAGAATGCATTATCTAAACTTAATTATCTTTATTTAACAAACAAAAATTAGTTTTAACAAATAAGCGTTCTTCAAGCCCATTCAAACAGAACATTAATTTATTTGAAAATCTTAAACTAAACAACAAAATATGAAAAATTATGATTTTAGCAACTTTTATTATAATATTTCGAAAATTACTCATTAAAAAGTACGTTGAAATTCGATCAGAAACTATAAACTATTACCGCAATAACAACAAACTTTATCATCTCAGAAATCATAACATTTGCAATGCTCAGACGATAGGATACAAATACGTTGTTTAGCAGTCTCACAAAGAAATTCGCAAATTCCACTTTTTTCTTCGTCAGTGCAAAGTCGAAGGTTGTAGACATCATAAAAATTTTCCGAACGATGCGTACTTTGACATGAAACTAATGTGGATATTCCTAAAAATCAAGAATGTATAAATTTTTATCGTAACTTACTAACTAAAATATTAAAGTAACTGTCCTTACCACCAATAGAAATCAGGAAGAATACTAGCAAAGCCTTCATTGTTTAGATGAGATTTGATTGTCTTTCTGTTTTCAGCAGTTTAAATACTACACAACGTTCAAAGTATAAAAGTTTTGTATTTCTTATGTAATATAATTTGATCGTTATTTAAAATTTATTTAAATAAGAATTTAATTTAGAAATATTAGAACTTTTCGCAATTTCATTTTTCTGCGAAATATAAAATTTCTTAATATTTCTTGAATATCAAATATTAAAATTTCTAGAATAATTCCGGTAAATCTCTCATCTCTTAAAAAACAATAAAGATTTCAACAAATAATATTGTTTCTACTAAATATTCCTTTCTATATTTTATAGCCTATTCATAGTATATAGTAGTTATCTATGCTTATCATTAAGGAAATTGTCTATACTTGCTTTACTCTAAATAGTAGAATTGTTACTCTGTTAACTTAATATAAAATAGGAAAATAATTATGATTTCGTTACATGATAGAACTGTAACCATATATCAATTTTTGTGGTCCGTAATAAAAAAAGTATTAATTTACATGTATCACCGTCTATCAACTAACAGACAATTTTCAAATTTTCTTTAGGTTTGGAACGATAAAATAATGTAACGAGCATATCCAGCATGAGTGAAGCTTTATAAGACAATGTTTTGTTCGCTCAAATGTGAAGACGCAAGCTAATTGTAAATAAATAATAGTTGTAACATTAAGCAATTTTTTTTAGCAAATTGTAAATTCCTCCTCTTTTAAAGTTTCCTCGGCTGGACATAGGAATGATCGGTCAATTTTGATGTCTCGGTTCCCACTCGACAGTATTGGCCGGTATTTTGCTTTATATCTCGGGATTTCATGATCCAAATATTTTTGAATTTGTCAAGAATACTTCTGTATATGAGGTAAAGATGCTATTACATTTTGGAGTTTTATAAGTCAAGGGAAATAAGAGCTAGACAGTGGTAAAAACACATCTTAACCGGAGTGAAACATAATGGAAATTTTATTAGCGTTAGTCATTCCCATTTTAAAAATAAGGCTTTTGATCTAAAAAATCACGTGACACGAACTTATAGCTAATTGGGTCTGTGGCCCTAAGCTTTCCATATGTGGTCTCGATTTTCATCTATGTAACCCTGTTTTAGCGCTGAAGGAATGACTAAAGACCGAGCGGAAATCTATAGGTCTTCAATTTGATAATTGCAACACAAAACTCTTTCCCAGTACTCTAGTAAGAGGTTAAAGATACATAAGGAAGTCCGATAATTTTCTCTTATACTACGATATAAAATTTAAATAACAATAAAAGTAATTTTGTTGAATTTTGAGATATTTTGGTTTTTTCAAAAAATAATATTCAAGTTTAAAAAATACGAAGAATGTGACTCAAGTCAAAATGTTATAAGAGGCCACCTTTTATAGGATTTTTTAATAACTTTATAATAATAATAATTTAAAAACTGCAGCAAGGCATTGTGACGATTTCACAATAAGTAATTGCTTGTTACGATTATATATTCAAAAAGTACTGAAATGTTGACGATAATTTCTATAAAACGTAAGTTTCCTATGATCTTAAGAAACTAATAGCATACAGCTATTGCTGATTACAGACGGATACTATCTGTGATAGTCATATGACTCATAGATCATCTTCAAAAGATGTTCTATTAGCCTACTACAAATTACTACATGTGTCATTGAATGGCTAATGGTTTATTATTATTACTTGTTTGTATCCAGAAATATTCTAACAGTTTCTGTTTCTAATATTATACTGATAAAAAAATAACGATGAAGCAATTCAGAATTTAAAACCCTATCTTTTACAAATTATTGAATTATTCAGTTTATATTTTTAGTTATTGTTACATAAACATCAGAAGCGATGCAGGAGATAAACAATTTAGAATATCTTTTCAATCCATAATGATTTTTCAAGGTATGGTATGCTTTCACGCAATAATATTGATAAGAGCGGCTTTTATGCACTCAATGTAGATTTGTCAAGCTGAGATTCTGCAATTATTGATTAAATGAACTTCAGTAGTTACCCAACTTAAGCTGATAAAACAAATGTTAAGATCGGGACGACAAAAAAATTTACAAAGTTTTTAGAGTTTACGTTTACAGTAAAACGAACTTATCCGTTGGGGGTTTCGTTGTTAGGACTGAATAGCGACGTACCTTTTTACCGAAAAAACTAAAAGTAGGGTAATAAGTTATTAATTTTTGCCCTTTATTTAAAGAGAAAAAGTTAACATATTTAATGGAAGAATTTAAATGATCTTTCTCTTCGCATATTTGTTTTTCTTCATTCATTAAATATTGTTTATGACAATTGAACTGTAATATTTGAATGAATTTGAAAGCACGTTGTAAAGAATATTATATAAATTTAACATTAAATTATAATTTAAAAAATGTAAAGAATTTTTAATTATTTTTACATTTTTATAATTTAACTGAAAGTGTTTAAAAATTATATTAAGAAATACACGTAAACAATAAATTTAACATTTATTAATTTTGTTAAATTACAAATTTGTAAAAATGACATTACGATATATCGAAATTACGAAAGAATCACGTCAGATCTAAAAATTTAATTCCGAAATTTCCACGACTGCCATTTTTTAACAACGACAGTGACGATACACTTGACTGCATATAATCCTTTTCTGTACTACACATTGTCTATGGCAAGCATTTCTTAGCTCTATAAATGAGCAATCTCTATAATATCTTCCAGGATAAGGAGTATAGCGTGACGTCAAGCTTGAAACTTTTGTGAATCGTACTAAAATGAAATTCAATCACACTTCATCAATTTATTTTTATAAGTAATATACTGAACTATTGATAAAGAAACTTACTACTGACGCAGAGCAGGAAAATCAAAATTATCGCTTTCATTCTTCCAAGTAAATAATTTTTACACGATATTATCGGTTTATATAGCCAATACTCGTGTCGTTATAAGAGAAACAATGCTTGTAATTTAATAAAGACACTTGGATTTCATTTAGCGAACTGTAACGTGTCAAACAAATTCGATTTTTTGATAAAGGATACTTATATTGAATACTCTTGATTATATTATTTTCCTTGTATAATATATTAAATTTAAAAAATATTTTACAATTATAAACGAAAAATTTAAATTTCCTTATATATTTCGTACTGATAATGCGCTAAAGTACACTAACAACCAAAGTTACATTTTAATAATATTGAATATAATTTTGTCTGCTAAATAATTTACATTAATAATAATAATTATTATTATTATAAAGTACTTTATAATATTGTTTGATGTTTTCACTAAGCTAATTCCTGGCAAGTTTGAGTGTCTTAGTTTCTATACTCATGTCCAAAATATAACCATTAATTTGGCTTATATCTTAGAAAATACTGATCAGAACAGCATGAAATTTAACATATAAGCATAACATTGTAGTCTTTATTCGATAAAATCAATTGAAAACCAAACATTTCATTTAAATTGCTTCAAACCAAAAACTAAAAAGTACTAAGTATTGCATTACAGAAAATGTTTGAAAAATTTCTGATCGGAATTTTTTTCAGTCTTTTAAAGTTTAGTTTCGATTTTGACTAATCGTAAAAATTGAAACCGTGGTTTGATAACTGTGACTGACTCATTCCTCATATGTATCACACATATTTGCACGCTTAATTTTCTTCCTTTTTAAGCCAGATATTTGGATACTGAACGTTTCAACTTCACTGTTTAAACGCAGGTTCGTTAAGTAATCCCGATTAATGTGTGCAGGCTTAGTTAAGGCGCTAATCTATTTTATTTTTGTAACTATTGCCGTAATTTTTCTACTGAAAAATTCTCCGAACCTCGTTCGTGAGCTGGACATATGATGCATTACTAGAATATCAAGTCTAATGTAAAATTTACAGATTTTTGCATATTTTCTTCTACAAACTTGTATTTTCTAATTTATTTTCATCAGTTAGTACAATAAAATCGTGGAATAATGACATAAGAGAATGCCGCCTTTGGAATATCCAGCTATATTTGAATATTTTACTAAATGTAACGCTTATGATTACCGAGAAATGCTTAATTATAGGAGTCTTGACTCTTATTATTATTTTTCAAGTGGTAAAGTAGGTGAAATTTTAATTAATTAATTGTCACAAAACACTTGTGTCCTTAAGATAAATGTAGATCCATCACAAACCCTATCTGGAAGTAATCATTTCATATGGACTTGTGTGTCTTATGATGGCAAAGTTATTTATCTAGATGCATATACATGCATGGCTGGATACCAATTCTCTTCTTGGATTTTCATCACGTGGTAATGAATGTAATTGGAACGGTTGAAAATACTGTATATAGACAATCTCGATGTATCGTGTTTTCGTGTACATCGCATACAGCTTCAAACCACTTATACAGAACATTCTGGCTATTGTGGAAGCCAACCACTGCACAATATCTACCTGAACTAGTTTTATAAGGCATGCCACCATTCATTGGTGACATTTTTAATTAAATTAAAGATTGCACACCTACACTAAACAACTAGCAGTATCTTAATGGCTGCCAAGACATACGCCCTCGTGTGACAAAATTCAAAAACGTTCTGGAAACTTGTGGGTAATAATATTTTGTTATTAGTGCGGCATTAGTGTGAGAACCCTGGAAACGTTTAAATAGTAAAAAGAATTACAAATTTTGACATAAAATCAAAGTAAAAATTTTAAGTAAAGGAAAGGCAAAATTTTATTAACTTCAGCATTTCTCTTACATTTCCTTTGATTCAGATGATGTTGAAGTTCCTGCAAGAAAGAAAATTTTGTAAGGGATGACCAAATCAGGAACGATTGTAATTGGCCATCAAATTTGTTATAAAAAGGGAAAACACTTTTAATCAGGCTGTCAGAAGATACTAGTAGTTCCTGTCCACCCTCTTCCTGATGACGAGAGCAACATGCTACGTTAACAAGAACAAAGTTCTCACGATGTCCCAGGTAGTATATTATCTTATCTATGTATGCTCTCTCGTTCGGCGGCCATAGACTATCCCAAGGCCTTAGCCAATAGCTAGAGTCGCTATATTCCGAGGCGTATTTAGCTTTTATTATACGCCATATATGTACTGTACCGTATATTCGATATATTCTATGTACAGGTATACCTCGCCTTACGTCGGTAATTGGTTCCAGGAAAACGACTTAAGTCGAAAAACGACGTAAGTCGAATTTACTTGTCTCCGAATCTACTTGTCACTAGGAAAAACCATAAATTATTATTCCCAGATCTGTATTTTATTTATTAATGCATTTTTAATAATATATGGTTAATAAGAATCTATCTTAAGCTTACAAAGAAATAAATTTTAGTTTTTAATAGAGTACAGAAAAAAGTAATGTAAATTTACGAATGCATGTACTGTTCTGTAAATACAGTACATACTTGTAAATGTATATATTTTAATATGATTTTATGTGCTTTAAACGCTTTTCTAGTGATATTACGACTTCAATATTTGTGGCGGACGGACGTAAAGGCGAATAAAATGACTTAAACTTGACTTTTTTTTTCCGTATACTTTTTTGACAAACGACGTATAATCGGGAACGATGTAACTCGAAACGACGTAAGTCGAGGTATACCTGTATATATTGATACTTTGTAATCTTAATCCATATTATATATATAAATAAATAGGTAGCATATGAAAGGGAAATTGTCCAGTTTCCGTCTCGTGAATCGACATGTTCCCTCCACGACCACTCGATGTTTTGACCAGCCCCTCGGATTAGATAAATTTCGCGAGTTAAGAGGCGTTACTTCTCAATAATATGACAGATTTATACTAGCAGATTCTCCTCTGCGTAGTTCATCATATTCAAGTTATCACATACCTAATTGTGAAGCAATTTCATTGTATTTTTACAACAAAATATACTGTACATTTAAACGTAGTAATATTAACTTTGAAAATCGTTAAATCACGAAATTATGGCATAAAATTTGTTTAAAAATTATTTTAAACAAATTTTATCCCCTAAAATAAAACAAAAAGTTCTTTTTTCATCAGAAATTAAGCAAATCATTGCTAGTGTAATTATTATTGACAATAACTGTGAGGGGGAATAGTAAATTCCCTGTCAAAACAGCAAAAGGTTTTTTCGCAAAAGATTGTGGGTGGTGGTGACGGAAGCTCGAATACGAGGCACCTTTACAAGAGAAACCCGTTTATTTTAAACTAAGAAGGGTTACTTAAATCAATAAACTCTAAATTTCTTCAGTGAGCATTAATGTTCGTTCTAAGTTCGTTTCACTTGATCTACGGACATTGAAAAAGTAGGCGATGATAAAATTTAAATGCTTTGTAATAGGAATTGAGGAAACTCATGCCACAGTTTTAAATGAGATAATAAAATCTAGTTACTTCAGAAAGAATAAAAACATATTAAATCTATTTTGTATGTTGTAGGGCAACTAACAAAAATTATTAAAGAAATTTCAGTTCTAAAATAAATACAAAGTAACTGAAAAATTAGATTCCAGTAAAAATTATAAGAATAGTTATTAGGATAATTTTGGCAGTATTCCTGTATGACTTTGTATAGGCTATATTTCGTTTGTTGACTTAATATTTATCTTTCAGTGAAAACATGATGAAACGCGGATTCATTATAGGCTCAAAATTTGTTGATTCTTTATTATTAACCGTTACTAAAGAAGATAAAAAATAAAATATAATTTATGTAGACTATCGTTACACCTATCCGTATGGACGGATAGAAGAATGACGTCCACTTACAGTAATCAGATGTTAGGGTGAAAACAAACGTAACTAATAAATACAAATATGCTAGCGGAGAGCACATTTTTACTGAAAAAATGCCAAAAAGTTATTGTACCATGAATTTCCATAATCATAATCACGACAAAAAATAAAAACACGGGTTTTTATCTTTTTCTTAGTGACGAATATAGGTAAAATAAATGGATTAAGCCGAAAAGAATTAAAATGGTTGCTACTAGGGTTTCTCCAACGGAATCCCTGCTGTTTTTTAACCCGGGAAAATTCTTTTCATCCCGGGAAATCCCGAAAATTTCTTAAAAATTCACTTTTTTCTTAATTTGTGATAAAGTTGAGGAACTTTTGCAAATAGAAAGTATAATTAACCCCTAAACTATCAGAATACATCTGTTTTGATTAATTTTAAGCCTGCTTATTAGTTTTTAATTTTTTGCCCGTTATGTCATGTCACAGATTGTCAATAATCAATATGTAGTCTATTTGTAGCAATACTGAAAATTCTTTACTTGTCGGAATCTGTAATATCTTGAATAATTGCGCCGATGCTGTCGTAATTTTTAACCATGCTCAGTAGCTTCCATAGCTTCATTATGTCAGGTTGTGAAAATTGGACCAGGATATAAACGAGTATAAAACATGCAAGTACGAAGTTTTTCTTCATAAACTCTATTATTAAAGTCAAACGAACTTCCGTATTATCGGGCTATAAGCTCGATGCCTCTATTAAAGCATCCGAGGTAGGCAAATCAAGAATATTAGACGGCAAAAGAAGTACTGTAAAGCACTCGAAAACGAACAAGAAATCTTCCAGGCTACAGGTGAAAAAAACACATATAATTTGTTTTCTCTTATTTGTTTTTGTAAACAGTTTCCAACAAACTTTAATAACTTTTTTCTATTTGTGAAAATTTCTACGTAATTCGAAAGTAATTTTTTAAAATATATTTTACATATATATTAATTTTTTATTTTTTAATATTTAAAAAAAAAATTTTAATATTAATATTTTACACATACATTAATATTATTTTGGAGGTTGCAGGACGTATTAACTTACTTAAATATGAAAAATAATTATATCATTCGATTTTAAGATTTATTTTATATCTTAAAAATAATTAATTATATCCC